AACTAGTTTGAAACTATACTCAAGATTTCTTGAAAACATACTTGTCTTTCAGCCAAACAATACTGTTAAAGTTATGTGAATGCTTTGCTTTAAAAATGTGCTTTTTTAGTTTGCAAAGAACAGTAGTGTAAAAATAAATCATCCACAAAGCATATTCTGATTTTTAATTTTATCCCTTGATAGATCAGTTGTCTCCAAATCCCTTAACAACCAAGGAAGAAAAAAAAAAGTTACAGGGTTCACATTTTAAGGATTGTCGATTGTATAGACCAAATGTTGCTAACCCATGGAAAGATTTATGGGCAACTTCTGTCACGACCTGAAAACACTGGAATCTATTAACATGAAGTCAGTATCCTTGCATTAGTCTACAAGGTTGGTAAGGCATTTCACTGCTTTCTCACATCTTGCTTTTCTCTGGCAAAACCAGCTGTGATCACTCAGCAGGTCCTAAAGAACTGAGTCACAGAAAAGGAACAGATTTTATACTTCCAGGTGACAAGAATGAACAAGTAACATGATTTGGGCAATCACTTAAAAGCACATTAGTGCCAATTTCACTACACTTTACACTGGATGATCAAGTTACTTTAGGAGTTAAAAAAAACCTATTTGAAGGAGGTTAGCAAGTCGAGGGCAGGGGTGTGTGGGGGAGGGAATCCACACCGAGTTTGAGTTTGGCAAACCCAACCTCCTTTACTATTCAGCTACACTGAGCAGTAAAGAGCAAAGCGTATTCAGCACAAGGCTGATGATTTGATCATTTGCACACTACAAGTAAACCTGCATTTTCACGGATATGGTCTGTTTTTAGGAAGTGGTGAGAGCTGGAATTTATTATTAGGAAACCAAAACATTTCACTTAATTGTTTAACATGTGAGATTTTCATGAGGGAATGAAGGTTAGTTACATTTGCAATAGGATTTCAAAACTACATTTTGCCTTTTCAGCTCTAAAAACTAAGCTGAATATAAGGCTGAAAGGTTTAAAAGACTAATCAAAGTAACAGAAGTCAGAAAGACAGTAACAATACAGCACCTAAAAATGGGTAATTCACACATTTTTGACATTTATGTCTTGCATAGACAAATACTTTTTCATTTTTTTCTCCCAAGACGACTCAGCTTCAGAAAATAAATCTTAAATCAACTTTAATTACAATTAAATGCACGTGTTCCAATTTTTCAAAATACCAGGGTGTTTTGAGTTTTTGTTTGTTTAAGTGCTACAAGTCTAATGGTTTTACAAAACTACCATCCCTTGGAAAGGCTTTGTTTCATCCTGTGGGCTGCCAAGTTCATAAAGTCAGGAAGCTGAACTGCCTTCTCATTCTTTTTCCATGTGATTAGAGAAACAAATAGATATATTATTAATGCATTAAGTCTTTGCAGCCCTACTGCACTAGAATATCTGTAAACCTGCAGGAACTGGGAACTCCACTTCCTCAGTGCAGGTGTGCCTTCTGGCCGTATTTTGCACACCAAACCGCTATGTGGTGCACACCAAGTCAACACGAATTCCTGCCCTTCTAAGCCCTTTGTCCATACCCTGGTTTCCACTGGAAGAAAACCTAGGTATGCAGGCAAGATAAAGTTGGAGGGTTCTCCAAAAGGTTCCTAATAGCGATCAGGGACCAGAACAAGGAACCAATTCTCTTGCAGGTAAATGCAGCCCGGCATGCAGCCCTACCAAGTTTCCCCGAGGTCAGCAGGACTCCATTTTGACCCAATGTCCAGATCTAGGAAACTCTCTGCAGAGCCAGAGCCATGCCTGTCAATTCTAAATGTTTTCCAACATGATTATTTCTTTGGAACAGTCATTTAAAAATACATCCTGATCGATTTGGAATCGATTTACTAAAATGCAATGTTTCTACAGTTAAAAGAACAAGAGGAAATTGCCTTGCCTGTTACAGAAATCTTGGAAAAACTGGACTGAGAACCCTGTTTGGGGTTAATAAGCTAGATGATGTTGAAAAAAAATGTAGAAGTTTCAATAAACATAATTGCATAAGAATTACATTGATTTTAAAAACAAATACTTCTGTTGCATATGAACATGACTTTAATTAGGGGGGGTGGGGGTGGAAATTATACATGGGTTTAAAGTTAGGTCCCCTATTAAGACTTTTTAACTAATGTAAACATGTGCCTTTCCTGTATAGCGATGCTTTGCTTAAACAAGCAATCTTTCTTATACAGCAAAAAAAGGACACTACTATTTTTTTTTTTAAATTGTGAAAAGAACAAGCACTTCTGTGCAGTTCATACCCACTACAGAATTCTTATGACTTAAAAGACAAGGTTTGAGTTCCATATGTTAAGCAGTACCTTTGATTACATTGATAAAGCCTTTTCAGTTTTAGGAATTCATGTCCCTGTGTTTTTAGGTTTCTAATTTGACAGTAAAACTATTCCATGTTCCCCCTTTCACAGTAAATTCTGTCAACTTCACTTTCCAGGTATTGATAAACTAGCTGAAGACAAGGCTGCAAATGTTTCAGAAGAGTGAAACTTTGGCTGCACGTAAGGTGGGGGGAATAAAAAAGCTAACCAGATAACGGTTTCTTTCTGAAAAAACCCAACACTTTCAGAAGTTTGCAAACCCTGATGCCTGGTTGTTTCCAATTGAGTTCCAAATGGCACGTAAACTACATATTCCTGAACCCTCTTCCAGCCAGCTGTACAGATATTAAATTGTTTTAACACCGTCTCTTTTTTTAAGATCTCAGTTCTCATAGTTTTGAAGCATGGGCGAATGCCTGTTGACACATTATCTCCAAACCACAGAGGTTTTTTTGCCCATTTTGATTTACCCTTCCCTTCTCTGCTGGCTACTTGCTACCCCAACAGATCTGCCGGCTGAGCTGCTTCCTAGACTACCTCAAAGCAGGCTGGGGAAAGCTCTGCTGGTAGATCTGAGGCAGCAACAACTGGTCAGGGAGGGAAAGGAAAGGAGATAGTGGGAAATGGCCTGTTCCTCCAGCATAGGTTGATTTGGAAAAGCACATATTTGTCCATAGGTCTGTACACACTGAGAAGTAGACTATTCATCTGCCTACATGCTAGAAGTACAAGGATTAATGCACTATTAAATATGAACAAGGGTAGCTGAATAAAAGCCCCAAACAAACCAACAAATATAACCTACTATATAACGGAAACTGTGGGGGTGATGAAGCACTATGGAGTTAAATCAAAAACAACTAAAAAGAATACAGAATCCATCTCTCAGCTCTAGTCATCTCAGGTATCCTTTGTAGGAACAGTAGGTTGAATGTTTCCAAAGGAGCATGAATTTGTATGTTGTATCTGTCTTTTTAAATGTTTTGGGGTCAAACTGGATTTGACAATAGCCTTTGAGACAGTTATGCTATGTCAAAGCTTTCCTAATTAAATCTTTCATTATTCATTTACTTTGCTCTTTAACAAACATGGCACATTAGTGGCAAAGCAGAGACGTTAGAAGAAAACAGATTCTTTAGAAATTACCACTCCAGCTGGAGTAGATCATTACAGCATTTGAACTAAGCAGCAAGATCCTCAGCCAGGAATAAGCGAAAGCCACAGCAGAAACATCACTTGTGTTGAGTAAAACCCAACACCAATTCTTCAAAATAGCTACTAGTCACTGAAAACTAGTATTACTCTCCCTGTACGTATGCCAATGCTACTGACATTTCTTTCTGAAGTTTTTCTTCATACCAACTTATAATTACCTTGGAAGACAATCTTTAAAGACCAGCTTCCAATCATTTAAGCATGTCAAAAAGTACATGCAT